TCCCCTCCTGCTATCCTCTTTGCTTCTTATAAACCCTTATGCCCTTCCATCTCTGCAAACCTTCTAAGTTCTATGGGTTCAGGCTTCTGGAGACAAAACCCAGAAATTCTTGGAAGTTACCTTTTCTTTCTGTCTTATCACACCTCCCCCCTTGAGGCAATGGAACAGAGAATCAGCTCCACATTTGAGTAAGAGAAACATACAGAAAAGAAAAAATATATATAAAATAGTAACCCAAAATATTATGCCATCAATCTTTATACCCTCTTCATTGGTGATTCCCAGTTCTAGTTTCCAAATATACTTAGAAAGATGTTTTTTGGATTGTGGCAAAAGTCCTCCAAAACTTTAAAAATTGGGTTAATGCTGGTGAAATTTGAATTTTAAAACATAAATAATGGTTGTGATGAAAGGTCAGAGAATTAAGAGCTGAAAAAAGCATTGTTTCCACCAAAAAGCTGGATAAACTTCAAATTAACAACTTTTCTTGAACTTACCAGAGAACTAATTCAGAGGGAGCAAAAGTAGGTTTACAGTTGTTTGTATGGAAAATAATACAATAACTAATAAATATTTACTTTCTATATGAACAACTGTAAACCCACTTTTGCCCCACCCTGTACAGATTTTGAAGTAGTATTATAAAAATAGTGCTTATTACAGAAAAGTTTGAAAAGACAAGAAAATTAAGTCCACCAGTAATCCCACCACCTGGAGATAGCTACTCCTAAAATGTAGGTGAGTTTTTTTATGCCTTACTAGATGAATGGATAGGTGAATGGGTGGTCCCATCCTATCTAATAATAGACAAACATAGTAATTAGCCATACCTCCAACACGCTTCCCATTGGCTAATCAGGGTGATATGCAAATTAACTGCCAACGAAGATGGCGGCCAGTGGCCAGGCAGCTGAAGCGAGCAGGAGGCTTGCTTGCTCCAGTGATGGAGGAAGCCAAGGTTCCCCGACTGCCGCTGCCAGGCTCAAGGGAGGGCCGTTGGCAGCGATCGGGCTGGCAGGGAAACAGTTAGGTGTTGATCAGGCTGGCATGGGAGTGGTTAGGGCAGTGGTTGTCTGGCAAGCAGAAGCAGTTAGGGGCAATCAGGCAGACAGGCAGGCAGACGAACGGTTGGGAGCCAGCAGTCCTGGATTATGAGAGGGATGTCTGACTGCCCGTTTAGGCATCCCTCTGACTGCCCGTTTAGGCCCGATCCTAGCAGGATCGGGCCTAAACGGGCAGTCAA